AAACGAGGGAACTACTGCAGTTTTACGCTTATTTGTTTCTTACAGAGCATGGCCAGACATCAGCTCCATTGACCCAAAGTGGGAGAAGATAAGAGATCCATTGTTTCACTTGCTACTGCAGAAAAAAGTTGTTTACACCCCGGCACATTTTGGGCAATGGCTGACAGTACAGAAAGCCGTTTTTGACCTGCTGTCTAAAGATGAACCTAAAGAGCTGCTTCAGCGAGTATTACTAGCAGCTGATGTGCCTGTTGTCTCAGTACCCAGTCACGTCACGGACGCCATTTTGTTCTATGCAGGGGCCACTGTAAAGAATATCACTCCCAGTGGCACAAGAGCAGCATTGAAGCAAGTCCCCTTTTGTTACCAGAACCTTGATAGACGAGAAAAACTACTCCTTCTTCAGTTTTGTCTTAAAGACCGCAAATATGACAAACTCTGCGGCGTGATGTTGTTGCCCCTCTTCAATGGGACCTTCACAAAATTTTCAGATCAGGGAGAGCGAATTTATATCTGCTCGCGTAATCATCCACGACAACTATTTCCTGGTTTAGGACACCGTTTCCTTGACGAAACACTCGATGGGGACGTCATTGGGAAGCTGAATGATGCAGCTGATCAAGGTAAAATGATTCTTATTTGGATTCGAGTATGGTGTTATCTTACCGAGCATTTTTTATTCTTTATTTCAATATCTACAGTAGTTAATGACATTTCTTTCATAAGTCGCATGGCACAGTGGAAAGAAAAACGGCCTCACAACGAATTAGCTTACCAAAACTGTAACAAAGACAACTGAGGCATGCCGGTTATTATCTTTTCATCAATTCCTTTTCGTTGGTTTTACGTCCTAATATAACGTCCTAATATCGCGTGTCTCATGAAGGAGTCCGTCACTCTCTTTGTTGTTATGCTTTTTTCACAGAAGTTACACAATTACGGCTATTATGCGTAGATGATGTACCATCTCTTCTCTGGGAGGCCCTACCGGATGAGTGGAATAAGGGTAATACCGTTTCGTGGTTCCCCGATGACAGTAATCACAATCATCCTCCGAGAGACTGGATCAAAGTTGTCTGGAGATATCTTCAAGAACATTTCACAAGAGTGGAAGATATTCAGAGCCTTGGAAAACTACCTCTCATTCCACTCAGCCTAGAACACACACCTGTAACCTTGGCACGACTTTGCCTCTCTTCTAGAGTTGTTGTCAAGCGCCTAAAAGATGATTGCCTCGACGACACACTAACAAATGTTTTGAGGAAGCTTGGTGTAATTATTATGAATGATTTTCCAGCCTATATAAGACACCATCCCGCTGTCTTGGGGGCGTTTGTACATCCACCGTCCGCACAAGGCGTTTTGAAAGCAATGGTGATTTCCTCTGGCCAGATGGCAGCTGGAAAGTTTCCANTTACGCTTATTTGTTTCTTGCAGGGCATGGCCAGATATCAGCTCCATTGACCCAAAGTGGGAGAAGATAAAAGAACCATTGTTTACCCTGCTACTGCAGAAAAAAGTTGTTTATACCCCAGCACATCTTGGTCAGTGGCTGACAGTACAGAAAGTCGTCTTTGACCTGCTGTCTAGAGATGAACCTAAAGAGCTGCTTCGGCGAGTGTTACTAGCAGCTGATGTGCCTGTCGTCTCAGTGCCCAGTCATGTCGCAGACGCCATTTTGTGCTATGCAGGGGCTTCTGTAAAGAATATCACACCCAGTGGCACAAGAGCAGCACTGAAGCAAGTCCCTTCTTGTTACCAGAACCTTAATAGACGAGAGAAACTACTACTTCTTCAGTTTTGTCTTAAAGACCGCAAATTTGACGAACTCTGCGGCTTGAAGTTGTTGCCCCTCTCCAATGGCGCCTTCACAACATTTTCATATCGGGGAGAGAAAATTTATATTTGCTCGCCTCATCATCCCCGAGAACTTTTTCCTGGTCTAGGACACCGTTTCATTGATGACACAGTCGATGGGGACGTCATTAGGAAGCTGGAAGATGCAGCTGACCAAGGTATAATGTTTTTTTGGATACGAGTATGGTTATATCTTACCCAGCAATTGGTTATTCTTTATTTTACTATCTAAAGTAGTTAATGGCATTCCTTTCATAAGTCGTATGGCACAGTGGAAAGCAGAACGGTCTTACAACGAATAAGCTTACCAAAATTGTAACAAAGACAATTGAAGCATGTCGGTATTTATCGTTTAATTCTTTTCTGTTGGTATAACAACATTATGGTGAAAAACGTCCTAATATTAAGTGTTTTACGACGGAGACCATCACTATGTTGTTATGTTTGTTTGACAGAAGATACGCAATTACGGCTATTATGCGAGGAAGATGTACCATCTCTTCTTTGCGAGGCCCTACCGCCTGAGTGGAGTAGGGGTAAAACCGTTCCGTGGTACCCCGATGACAGTAATCACAACCATCCTCCAAGAGACTGGATCAAGGTTGTTTGGAGATATCTTCAAGAACATTTCACCACAGAGGAAGATATTCAGAGACTTGGAAAACTACCTCTGATTCCACTAGACATGACACAAACGCCTGTAACCTTGGTTCGACTTTGCAGCCCTTCAAAAGTTGTTGTCAAATCCCTAAGTTATGATTGCCTAGACGATTCACTGACGAATGTTTTAAGGAAGCTTGGTTTAATCATCATGAATGATTTTCCCGCCTATTTAAGACACCATCCCGCTGTCTTGGGGACGTTTGTACATTCACCTTCTGTACAAGGCGTTTTGCAAGCAATGGCGTGTTCCTCTAGCCAGATGGCAGCAGCTGGAAGGTTTTCAGAAATCGTGTGCACGATGTTATCTACCAACGACAAGCACCTCCTCAGGTCATTTCTGGCCCGTGTGAGACGGTCATCTGTGGGACAAGCGGAGTACAATCTTCTGTGTTCGCTTCCCATTTTCCAGACGCTGTCCAAGAAGTTCGTATCAAAGGAGGAGGTTCTTTGTGCAACGGTTGCTGATTCTCTTCCGGTTCCACCTCTGCGAGAGCTGATTGACATTACCGAGCACGATTCCAAGACTTTAGCAGTTCTTTTAGACGTCAAGATTCTAACGCCAACTGAGTTACTCTGCCAAATGGTGTTTCCAGACATACAGCGAGGAAAGTACACTGGAGAGCAGATTGACCAACTCATGACTTATGTACTGGAAAACCACACTTATGAAATTCGCAAAAATGGCTCTTTCAAACAGAAATTACAAGCCTTGCCCTTTGTCTCCAANTCCAAGAAGTTCGTATCAAAGACGGAGGGTCTTTGTGCAGCGGTTGCTGATTCTCTTCCGGTTTCACCAGTACGAGAGCTGATTGACATTAGCGAGCACGATTCCAAGTCTTTTGCAGTTTTATTAGACGTCAAGATTCTAACGCCAACTGAGTTACTCTGCCAAATAGTGTTTCCAGACATACAACGAGGAAAGTACACTGGAGAGCAGATTGACAAACTCCTGACTTATGTACTGGAAAACCACACTAGGGAAATTCGCAAAAATTCCACTTTCAAACAGGAATTACAGGCCTTGCCCTTTGTCTCCACACAAAGAGGGCGCGCAAGAGCATCAGACCTCTTTGATCCCAGAAAGCTGATCCTGAAGAAGTTATTTGTCAATGAAGATGTTTTCCCCACAGTCGCGTACAACGAACGTTCTGTACTCGTCATGTTAGAAGAACTTGGAATGAAAAGCGAGGACAACATCACTGGATACGATTTGTACCAAAGTGCGAAATTAGTAAGTGAGCTTACTCACCTTCCAACTGCAGAGCAGAAGTCAAGAGCAGTTTTGGAGTTCCTCAGAGACAATCCCCAAAAGTTGTCAGAGTCAGTCAATGGACAACCACTAGGATCGCTTTTGAAGGACATTCCGTGGGTTTCAAGGTTGCAAGAGAGGCCCCCTAACTATCCTGCGGGATTGGCATGGTTTGAAGCAGGCGAAGAAAATGACAAACACTTTTTCAAGCCAACTGAAGTGAAAAGTCAGTATCTCGCAAACCTCGTTGGAACAGTTATGCCTCTTGTAGAAGTACAGCCAACGAATCAAATTTCCAGGTATTTTGGCTGGCAATATCTACCCGGTGTCTTCCAGGTCATTCAGCAGTTGCAGAATGTGATCAGATCGTATTCAAAAGAAGAAAAACCGCTCTTTATGGTTGTGGTAAACGAAATTTACTTGTTGCTAAATCGAGTGCTAGCAAAGGACGTTGGTGTGGATCCTGCATTTGACTGTTTAGAAGAATTTGATTGGGTTTGGAATGGAGAGGGCTTTTCCTCACCTAGCCATGTGCTTTTCAGCAAGCCCCACATTGATCTTACACCCTACATACGTTCTCTTCCTCCCGACATGGCTAAGTACGCTGAGCTGTTTTACCGTTTTGGCATGAGGGAAAGCAGTAATCCAACCGTTTTGGTACAGGTCCTTCACATGATTAAAGAGAAGTATGACGAAGGAATTGTCCTGTCCAGCGCTTTAGAAGTAAAGCACGATCTTTCGTTATCCGTCAACATTCTGAATGAGTTGGCAAGTGAGCAGTTGCCCGAAGAGTTACAAAGGCAAATTGTTCTACCAACACACACTGAAGACAACTCACATGTAAGGCTTGAACCAGTTGAGTGCTGTATGTACTGCCACCACGACTGGCTGACGAGAGAAGTTGACGATGAAGACATGGACTATTTTTATGTACACCCCAATGTCCCTAACAGTACTACCGAACGCCTTGGTGTTCCAAGCCTCACCAATCGAATGCTGGACCCGGACGAGTTGTCCATAGGAGAAGAGTTTGGACAGGAAGAGAAGCTTACTACTCGGTTGAACCGACTTCTGGAGGAATACACGGATGGATTTTCAGTTCTAAAAGAACTTGTTCAAAACGCAGACGATGCCGGTGCCACCGAGGTCCGATTTCTCTATGATGAAAGGACGAACGAGGATGCCATGTCATGCTTGATCGACGAAGGCATGAAAGGTTGCCAAGGTCCTGCATTGTGGGTCTACAATGACGCTCAATTCAACGATGAAGACTTTGAGAACATTGCAAAACTGAATGAGGCAACAAAAGAGCACGAAACGGAAAAGATCGGCAGGTTTGGACTTGGCTTTAATGCGGTGTACAATTTGACAGATGTGCCCATGTTCCTTAGTAGGAACTATTTTGTCATTTTTGATCCTCACACGTCATTCCTCGGGAAGGCCATTAAGAACAAAATGAAGCCAGGAATGAAGATTGATCTCAACAAGGATGTGAAGAGGCTTCGAAAATTCACCAATCAGTTCAAGCCATTCACTGGTATCTTTGGCTGTGATTTACGTCTTGATAAAGAAGACAATTCATTTGATGGAACTCTTTTTCGATTTCCATTGAGAACGAGCGAGCAAGCTGAAAGAAGTGAGATAAAGAAGCTACCATACGATGACCAGCAAATACGAGAATTGTTGCTAATGCTCGTTAATGGAGCCAATACCTTACTCCTCTTCACGCAGAATGTCCTTCATGTCAGTGTATTTTCTTTGGCAGTATCTCCCAGTCAAGACCGAAAGGCGACATTACTGTTTCAAGTAAGCAAGTCACTAGCACAAGGTGGAATAGTTAGAGGCCTGTCTGTCCCTGTTAATCTACCAGCCGCGACAATGAAGTTGGCCTCAGAGGAAAAGGATTTCTTGAAGCAATGCAATTTTCTTCAAGTGTCGTCACAGGTAACTCGAAATTTTAGGAAGGGAGCACCAACCAAACTAATAAAATCGGCCATGAAGGTTAACATCAAGTGCAGCTTTACGGAGTACGGTGTGAGTTTCTTCGCAATTGACGTACCTTATCAAAAGGAGTGTAGCACCTGGCTTGTGGCGTCTTCCATGGGTAATGGTCAAGCACTGAAATTTGCTAAGAATGATTTGAGCCTTCTCCCATCGGCGGGGGCAGCTGTTCAGCTGGTTCCAAATACATCTGGCACCATTTTGCCCTTGCCTGTAAAGAAGACAGRTGATGGYTTAGATGTCAACGGGATCTTGTTTTGCTACCTCCCACTTCCAATTCACAGTGGCCTTCCTATTCACATAAATGGAGCATTTGCATTAGCTGCTAACAGACGTCATTTGCAGGAAAAACTTGAAGATGACAAGAAGTGCTATGGAGTGGACTGGAACAATGTACTTATGCAAGATTCTATTGCTTCTGCTTATCTCTGCCTTCTCGAGGATCTGAGGTCCATTGCTTCGGCTGACGGGTCTTACAAGTTCCATTCGTTGTGGCCAAAAGCTTGTGAGACTCATCATAATTGCTGGCCAATCATGAAGTCGTTCTATACACAGGTTGCTAGAGGAAATTACTCGCTGTTTTCTGACGGGCAGAACTGGCTAAATATTGATCAAATTGCATTTCTTGATCCAGATTTTAGAAAGAAGCCGCTAATAGGAAATATCTTGCTCACAGTTTTCCAGCTGCTTATGAAAGGAAGTGCAGTGGTCATTGATGTTCCCGTGGATGTCTTAAGGTCGTTCCAGGTTTGTGGACTGGGCGAGATACTAAATCCCAAAATCTACGACAAGGATAGATTTTTTCGTGAACTGTTCTTCCCAAAGATCTCCGCTGTACCTCCAGAGTTAAGAGATGCACTAGTGCTGCATGCTCTGGATATCAACTGCAATGACCTGATAAGGACGCATGCTTGCATTCCAGCATCACCACTTGGTAACACTCTCAAGTATCCATCTCAACTCATACATCCAGGCAAAGACGCAGCCCACCTCTTTCTTCCTAGCGACGAAAGGTTTCCTTGCGGCAATGAATATACTTTCCTTAACACTCAGCGGCTTGCAAAACTTGAGACTCTGGGAATGGTGTCGGATTATCTTCCTTGGCAAGAGATTGCAGAAAGAGCCGAAAGTATTCAAGGACTAAATGAAGTTAACAGTGACGCAGCGTGTAAGCGGACGATGGCATTGCTACAATTTATGGAGAAGAAGATGAACTACGAAGATAAAATTCCTTCAAACAGTGTCATTGGAATACGCATTTTGGAGGCAAATTTTCTCCCAGTTCTCAAGAAGCCGGCCTCGTTTCCTCTTCGATGGAAAGGTGATGATTTTGGAAACAAAGTTCTCCTCGCACCTAAAGATGTCTTCTTGGAAGACGAAAAGTACTTTTTATGCTGCACGGAACCATTAGTTGGAGTGTCTATCCCTCCAAATGTTAGAGCGTTGTTGGCGCTAGACAAAAAGCATGCGACTTTGGCCCACGTAATAGCTCAACTGGAAGTAGCTATGTCCACCAAAGTTGAATCGTCAGAGTTCACTGTANTGCATGCTCTGGATATCAACTGCAATGACCTGATAAGGACGCATGCTTGCATTCCAGCATCACCATTTGGTAACACTCTCAAGTATCCATCTCAACTCATACATCCAGGCAAAGACGCGGCCCATCTCTTTCTTCCTGGCGATGAAAGGTTTCCTTGTGGGAATAAAGATACTTTCCTTCACTCTCAACGGCTTGCAAAACTTGAGACTCTGGGAATGATGTCGGATTATCTTCCTTGGCAAGAGATTGCAGAAAGAGCCGAGAGTATTCAAGCACTAAATGCAGTCAACAGTGACGCTGCGTGTAAGCGGACTATTGCATTGTTACAATTTATGGAGAAGAAGATGAAAGACGAAGATAAAATTCCTTCAAACAGTGTCATTGGAAGACGCATTTTGAAGGCAAATTTTCTTCCGGTTCTCAAGAAGCCAGCCTCGTTTCCTCTTCAATGGAAAGGTGATGAGTTTGGAAGCAAAGTTCTCCTCGCACCTAAAGATGTCTTTTTGGAAGACAAAAAGTACCTTTTATGCTGCACGGAACCATTAGTTGGAGTAGATGTCCCCCGAAATGTTAAACATTTACTGGCGCTAGACAAGAAGCACGCGACGTTGGCCCATGTAATAGCTCAACTGGAAGTAGCTATGGCCACCAAAGTTGAATCGTCCGAGCTCGCTGTACATGAGGAGATAAGCCATCTGTGTTACGCCGCTTATTCGTATCTAGATAAAGCGCTTTCTAACAATTGGAAAGCTATCAAGAAATTGTTGAATGGGAAGAACTTCATTCTTAACCGAAGACAGTTTCTGTTTGCTACTCAGGTGGCCTTTCATCTTAACGTCGACTGCTCGCCATATCTTTATCAACTTCCAGAACCTTTGGCGGTGGCTTTCCCAAAACTAATGAAAATGGTTGGTGTGAGAGAACATTTTGAGGAAAAAGATTTCATTTCAAGTCTTCTGAAAATGAAAAGCCGCTTTGCTGAAACTAACCTGGACCAAGAAAGCCTTCAGACTGCTGTGCATCTGGCGAATAAACTGGGCGAAACTCTCAGAGATTGGAATTGCGATCCTGCTGAAGTAGAAGAAAAATGTGGAACTGTTTACCTTCCTGACTCACGAGGAGTTTTGCGATCGGTTCCCGAGCTTTGCATCAAGGACTGCCCTTGGATGCCTGATGAGCCAGACGTGCATTTTGTTAACGCCAGAATTCCTTGGCCAACTTGTGACTATGTGGGTGTTAAAACACGTAGAGAAGAAGCTTTGCGGTCTCATGTCGTTGGAATTCCTTTTGGTCAGCGGGAGAAACTCACAAATCGCCTGAAACGTATTCTAACCTGCTATCCATGCGAGAAAGAAATTCTGAAAGAACTTCTTCAAAACGCTGATGATGCAAAAGCGACTGAGATTTGTTTCATAAAAGACCCCAGACACCATCCCAATGAAAAAGTTTTTCAAGACAGTTGGCAACCACTACAGGGACCTGCCTTGTGTGTGTACAACAACAAGCCTTTCACCAATGCCGATATTGAAGGAATACGGAATCTTGGCGAGGGTAGTAATAGCGATGATCCGAACAAAACTGGTCAATATGGTGTCGGGTTTAATGCTGTCTACCATTTGACTGATGCGCCGTCCTTCATTTCAAAAGGAGAGGAGATTGGCGATGTCTTGTGCGTTTTTGACACACACTGTAAGTTCGCTCCTGGTGCAAGTTCAGAAGAACCTGGACTAATGATCAAAGTCGACACAACCCTTCAGAGAAGGTTTCCGGATGTTTTTCCATGTTATCTGGGAAAACACTTTCCAAGAGATAGCGCAACCATGTTCAGATTTCCTCTGAGAACAGCGCATATGGCTCTAGAATCCAAAATATCGTCAAGTTCTGTGTCACTGGAAAAGCTGGACACAATGATGGAGGAATTGAAGAAAGAGCTATTTGAAGTTCTCCTTTTTGTAAACAATGTGAAGAAGATAACCCTTTGTGAAGTCAATAGAACAAGTGGGGATCTAGAGAATGCTTACACAGTCGAAGCAGTGATGTCAGAGGAGGATGAACTCAAGAGACGAGCATTTGCCAATTACATCAAAGACATTGGAAGGCTACTACAGGAGGGAAGAGAAGTTCTTGCAACTGACATTCAAGTAGCAAGAGTGTCCTATGTCTTGAGCATCACAGACACTCTTGGAAACCAAGAAAAGTGGCTAATTGTTCAACAGATGGGCTTTGAGAAGTCTGTGGAGAAGAGTATCGTTAATGCCTTTAAGAAACATCAACTTGGGATGCTTCCTCGTGGCGGTGTGGCCTGCCTTTTGGAAAAGAAATCTGTACAAAAATGCCATGTACAAAGAAGAAAAAAAGCTTATTGTTTTCTGCCACTTCCATTCGAAACTAAGCTGCCAGTTCACATTAATGGTCACTTTGCACTGGAACACGAGGCAAGAAGAAATTTGTGGAGCAACGAAGCTGGTGGATACCAGAGTGACTGGAATAATGCATTGTTGCAAGATGTCGTGGCATCGTGCTACATTACGCTGTTGGTCGAAGTGCGAAATTTTCTTCAGCTACCAATAATCCAAGATAGAAACCCCTGCACCGAAGATGAGATCCTGTACAAGATTGCTTTCTACGAAACCTTTTTCCCACGTCTACCTCCCAAGGAACAGTATTGGGAGACGCTGGTTGACTCTGTCTATCAAGAAATCAACAGAAGAGAACTGAAAATCATACCAGTTGTTCGAAGAAGACCAATGGAAGTCGCCAGTAAAACTGCGAAGAGTAGAACTGTAGTAGAAGTTTCGTGGCTACCACCAACCAGCAATGGAAGGGAGCAAGCATTTTTCAACAACCTTGCTGTAGAAGGTCCCTTTGCCATGTCCCCTGACAAGGAAACAAATAAATCCCAAACGGAAACAATAAAGAGGTTTGAGGCAATACTTCTTGAAAGCGGTTTTAACCTCGTGGCCTTTTCCTTGTCGTTGCACAAATCCTTTTTGAGGGCTGGTATAACTACATGCTGCATCTCTCCAAGCTCTGTTATAGATTTCTACAGAACACGTAGTTCTCAGAACCCCTTGTGCACGATTGGGCCAATTCCCTGTCAAGTAGATGGAACAACATTGAAAGATGTTCTTGGAGTTAATGTGGTGCTGCAGTACTGCAA